CCCCCCAAAGACCGGAAGAGCAAACCCCGAACACAGCAGAAACGCACGACAGTAATCCATGCGCTAGCTAAGAATAGTATCAATACTAATCATAATCAGGGGGATCTTTTCGTGAACATACCGCTCTTTCTACCACGACGACAAGGACGAAGATGTCGACGACACCAAACCTACCGGAGCCACTCAGTGTCTCACCTGCTCGTATTTCTAGTGTTCTTGCTGGTCTCCGCGCGGGTTAACACGATGTTTGGCGAAGGGTGAAGATTGACGCATCGGTCACACGCTCAATGATTCCAATTCCGCCAGATCCAAGCCAAACATGAAGATGGAGACAAGAGATATGGTGCGTTCGTATGACAGAAATTTAGGGGGCTCTAAGACATGATGTCGCACATCATTCAGGCCGACTTGCCATAGTTTCGAAGACGAAAGCCAGAAAAATCCCATCACTAACCTTGTCCTGGGAGGAGTGGCTGCGTTCCAGAGACGGGCTTGGTGTTTTGGGCATTAGGGTTTAGGGTTTAGGGCTTATGGGTTTAGGGTTGGGGCTATCGTTACAAAGCCATACAAAAGCCCTATAAATCCCTATGCCTATGCATTCATAGGTCCAGAAGACATCCTGACCACAGGGACTTCTTGAGTCCGGCCCCAGCCCGAAGCTGGAAGCTAGACGCATCCGGGAACTTTGCTCCCCCCCAAATCTGAAACCGTGCCGCTAGCACTTCTGAGCGCCCTGAGGCCCCACACCTCACAGGAAAACCCTGAGGGGGTTGAGGGTTTATGGTTTCCTTATGTTTCCTCGCAATAGGCACGGACTATGGCGCGGTGCTTCTCTGCGACGCGCGCTATGCCTCGGGGTCCAGGCTCTCGAACCAGGTGCCTTGGGCAGGGTTTGGGTTTCATGATAAAGGTTCCAGAGTATTTTACCAGACAGGGGTTCTATGACACTGTTATACAAGCGTTGTTTCAAGGGTTCTACAGGGTTTGGGGGTTTTATCTAGAGGCCCAACTGATCGATCAGCACATCTCTCACAATTCCTGCAAGCCTCATAAAACCTCCTAAGCGCCTATAAACCTCACATACCCTACACCTTAAACCTCGTTTGGACAGCTTTATGAGATCCTGTGCCAAGTTTCAACCTTCTCGGTTAAACATCCTCTCGAAAGCTTTATCTAGTGGTCGCAGCTCTTATCTTATCCCGAAGCCCTAAGCCCCGTACCCTAAACCCTTAGCTCCAAAGAAATCCCAAGCCCTAGACCCTTAAACGCTAAACTGAACCCCGAAAACCTAAACCATTAAACCCTTCAGCCCAAACGCTCAAACCCTACACCCCTACCCGGACCCTAAGAAAGCCTGCCCTTCTAGGATGATTTCTCTATATAAGTCCTTAAGATTGTAGGCTATTTGGGGTTAAGGATCCCTTGAATCCCCAAACCTACACTCCTAAACCCTAAACTCTAAGCTAAGCCCTAAACTCTGAACCCTAAGCCCCATCCACCCTAAACCGTAAACTCTAAGCTAAGCCCTGAACTCTAAACCCTAAGCCCCATCCACCCTAAACCGTAAACTCTAAGCTAAGCCCTGAACCCTAAACCCT